TGACTCTAGCTTTGAGGTAGTCAGAGTAGTAGTGCATAGTAGTACAAACATTTCCCTTATTAATAAATTTCTATATCTGTTCGATCATTGATATTCGAAAGCAAAATAACGGATATTGTCACAACACCTCTGGGAAAAGTTTACAAAGGAGACTTTATTATAATTAAGGCAGTTAAATGTTCTTACAAAAACAATCTATATTTCACAAGTGCTGAAAGTAAGTAAACTGGCTTAATGTTCTCACTTGTAATGCTAGTTGAGATTAACTCTCGTTTGATAACTTCATTCCTGTATACATATAATAGTCCTTCAGATGGCTGTAGCCTTCCAAGTATAATCTTTCATAATGCACGCTCGTGTTTGTAACACGCTCTGCTTATTATCCTTCATTCAGTCCGTTGTCCTGTTCCTTTCAACCCATTCCTTATATTGCATAAGTTTTGCATGAGCGTCTTTAGCTAAACTATTCTTTATTTATCCTTCTCTTACCTTGTAACATGTGGCGGCTTCTCGACACTAAAGAACCCAGTACTGGTACGAGCACCCTCGATGTACACTATTTCCTCGCCACCGAAAAGATCGAGAAATTCCTCAGATTCATCGTTCATCTCTTCTCGAATGGTCCTAAAAAGAAAATATTTATGAAATCCCGACAACAATTTGAAACTTAATCCAAACATGCCTAATGAAAAGGTAAGCAACACAAAATCAGAAAAAAGGAACCAACCGGCACGTAGCATTGAGATGATTACGCAGACCCACAGCGTGTACAGCAGCACACATCCCTTTGTCAAGTGTAGCCTTTTCACCTAACCAGTAATAAATCTCGTGTCGTATACTTCCCGAGATTTCCTGCAATTATGGAATAACTAAATTTGTACAGCCATATTTCAGGAGAAACCGCAGGGATGTTCGTACCTTCGTAGTTTTCAGCACCAGGTAAGCATCTGCATCGTAGAACTGCCCGTAAAATGCTTCGTCAATAAGGGATGGATAGAAATTCTCAATCTCCCAAACCCATAGTCCCTGTAAAAGAGTTAATGTGCTGCAATGAGCGAATGAGAAAGAAGACACTGAGACTGAGAAATACCTCATCGCGGCCCACGTCCTCGTCGAAAATATCGCTGTAATCAAGTTGTTTCCGTTGCTTATCCAAGTTTGTCTGAAACAATTCAAATGATCTCTATTCAGGGAATCTTATCAAATTAGATGCAGGAAAGAAACTACAGATACCTTCCAGTTGACAGCAGATCGTGCAGCTAACTTCTGTTCTTCTTCTTCCCGTTCAGCTTTCAACGCTGCACTGGCACCAGCTATTTTCGACATCCCCTGAACAGAATATTTCACCTTTCTCAACACCAGGGGCGCTGACGGTAGCTCACACGTAATCAGCCATTCAAAAACATAAGTAGTTTCTAATACTACCGACCCTTTATCAGTAATGATAAAGACCACCACAACAACCTTGTATTAAGTGTCAACATGGAATCGCTACCACCTTTATGACTTAAAGAGTTTTCTATTGAGATTCGACCGCTGTAAAAATTGAGGTAGTACTCTAAATATGATAACAGTTGCCTTGGTAGCGTAATGGATAGGGCATACGTAAGGTCAGCGTGAGGTGAGGGTTCCGGTGTTGCCTTGTCGCCCGTTTTGCCCATAACTCGGCACTCTTGTGATAATTTAGGTAGTATTTTAGGGTTCGAGATTTGGCCAGAAGAGCTGGGTAGTATCCGTACTAGAGAAATCTTCTCCTTATCTAGCGCTAATCCCGCGCCGTTGCGGAGTCCGCTGTTTTTACCAGACGTCACCAAGTTCTCCCATTCAGAGTATATCTTGCCGTGGTTTCGATTTCAGTGAGGTCATATTTATAAAGTACTTCCGTCTTTTCTATAGAGGTCCCCGAGATCCAGCGCTTTCCTTACCTGGCCAAATGCGCAGCAGTGAATAGAACTGATGGCAAAAACAGGCGCAAGCAGGGAGCCAGTGGATCGGAGGCGCTTATTGGAAGACTCAACTCTTTGGCATGATACAAAATGAGCGCAACGGCGGTCAAGAAAGAGAGGCTCAGTGGATGGTTCGCGATCATCGAAAGTGCTCTGAATGAGCCCCATTAGTTACCAGCATCACAACAACGTATGGCAGAAAGGTTGAGTGTACGGACGAGTCCTTGCATGCTAAACTATCTTCTTTTTCTCCTACCATCTTGTTCACTAACAGAATCCTTTTCATGCTCTGCATGATCCTGCTTTAGTGAAATCGATCGTGCTGTTAAGTGGGCGGAGATCCCGTGCTTAGGGTGGAGGACACACCACGTCACATGTTCGTTGCACAGCAACATCGATCGCAACGGTCAAGTGGGCGGGCATCCCGCGCCTGGGGCGGAGAGCGCCTCACGTCACAAGTTCCTAGCATCGCTGCCACGCGATTCCACGCGACGAAGGGCGTTTTCCTAGACGGCTGTAGACTTACGCATTATGAGAGGAATACGGTAATCGCACGCGGTGTGGCCCTTTCTCGGGATGGAGGTGAGCATGAAAAACAAGTTTATTTGAGTTGCTCACCAATAAAATTACAACAATATTCAAAAGGATCCGCTCGAAACTTCCCCAAAGCCATTAGTGCGGTGGCAAGTTTCCATTCTGTACAGGAGCACAAGTCGTGGTAAGCAAACGCAAATCAGTGAACAAATAATGACCAACCTGAATAACCTTACTGGCGTCCTCCTGATCCGTCTGTTGTTTCCTT